TCATCGATATACACTTTTCCTTTACTATTCAATTCAAAGATCAATACGAAGATGACCCACCACCAAACATGTCAACCATTTGGTTGTTTGTAATACCTTTGCATTCCCCTTCAAACACCATATCTTTATCAAAGACACCATAAAACCCAACAATTACTTCAATTGTTATAGGCCAAACACGGGGAAGGAAAAAATAATAAAGAAAAAATACTTAAAACAAAATACTCCAGAAAATAATAATCATTTCAATAACAGTTAAAAATTAAAATAAAAAAATGTAATAATTTTAAAAATATTATAATAAATAATTTATAATATACAAATAAAATAATTGAAAATTAATTTAAACAATAGTTATAAAAACATTAAACAATTGGATTTTATTTTAAAATGTTTTTTTAAAAAATTGATATTTTTCAATTTTTTTAACTAAGCTTTGATAATTATAATATACAAAATTATACTTGTAGTTGATTATTGTGTTTAAAAAATACTATACATATTTAATATTTATTAAATACTAATTGGGTTTTTTATAAAACAACACCCCAAAAAGCAAATGACTGAACCACAAGTAGAAACCTTTATAAGTCAGAAAAAAACACAATGTGGTTTAAAATTATTTCTGCCAATAGTTGGTGGTTATTCTTTTGTTCCAACTGGATTTGAAAGAAAACTTTCCGTTGTAAAACAAAGGGGTGTTTGGTTTGTGTGGACGTGCTTGAGTCTGTCGGTATCGGAGAAAACGAAGTGTTTACAAAAGTTAAATACAAAAATGGTTCAGTTCATATTCATGATAAAAATGTTACACATGGGAAAAAAAGAAGAAAGAAAACAAATAACAAAATTAATTAAGAGAGGTAGGAATTGCTTTTTGGAAACCAAGGAACTTGTTTCTTTATATCAAGATGAATATGGAGAGAGTTGTTATCAAAAAGAAACACTTAGACGATACATAAACCAAAAAAAGAAGAAGCTTCTAGAAAAGTAAAATGTATTTTGGATGGTAATGATTATTGGACTTACGAAGATGAAGAATTGTTTATATTTTCATCATTGGAAAAAATAAAAATATTAAAAGGAAGAGAAATAACTTATTTATGTCTGCACGGAACATTTTCTTCTGCTCCTAATGAATGGTATCAATTATATACTATAC